TTGCAGTTTGGCTGGGGCTGGGTTTGAACCCACCACCCTCAGTATATGGGGCCGGCACCCTACTCACTGAGCCACAGGCACCGCCCAGGGGCAACTGTATTAATTTTAACAACAAATGCAATGGGTAAATTCTAAGAAAAATGTAAAAGTAGAACTGATTAAAAAAAGAACAAAAACAGAATATCTGAATAGCCTAATCATAAAAATGGCAGAGAATGTGGTCAACACTATCCTTCCAAAGAACTCTAGGTCAACTAATTTTGAGTTGGTGAATTAAAAACACTATAAATGATTCTAGAACATATTAAAAGGCAGACATTTTTACAAGTTACTTCACCAAGTTAGGATAATCCTAACTCTCACTATGATGGTATACAAAAACCATAGACCAATTTCATTTATAAATACAAACACAAAGTCCTGAAAAATACTCTCTGCAATGGTATAATAAATATATAACAGAAAAGTAAACACACAAATTTAGAATTCAACTTAGTTTGCTTTTCATAATGGGTGGACTGTAAAAATTCTGTAGCTCTTGCTGTTGTATTTTGGGATCGAGCAAGTGAGTACATATGTTATGGAAGAAGAGAGACACCAGTACAGAATGGAGGGAGACAAGGAGGAAGAGTGTGGTCTTGGGGGGTAATTGGAGGTATTCCTTACATCTAAGTTATGTTAGTACACCCTCATCAAGGAACTTTCCCTGCTCTGGATTTAGAGAAAGCTGACAATACGTGCCAGACTGGATTTCGGAATTGCTCTGGGCCACTGCTGCTGTTTCCCATTTTCCCATTTGAATGGAAGTGTCTTTACTGGTTTTTCTGCCCCCCGTTCCATCTTTGAACGTTGGGGTTGGGGGAGAGGCAACTTGCCTTTCAGTTCATAGGTCTCTGGTTCAAGAGGAGAGGCACCTGAGGAACTGCACCCAATGAACCTTACTTCAGGAGTTTTATTTGAGCTGAACCTTCTTTGATGTAGATGATGAGATCCTGGACTTTGCTCCAATGCTGCTATAAATGAAACGTCTCAGGGAGGGGACTGAGTGTTCTTTATGTGTGGGAAGGATGTAAATTGCCATGGCCAGAGGGTGAACTGGTAGATTGTTTTTAAAGATGGCAGCAACAATGTTTCTCCCAAGCAGCCTTCTCCTTTGAAATGTGACTTTGCTGTTCATCCCATCCAGAGGTACAAGAGGTACAATTTGTACTCCCTCCTTTTGAATCTGGCCCCGTGACTCCCTTCGACCAAAAGAATGTGGCAGAAGTGAGATGGTGAGAGCATGAACAACTTGGTCAATATAACATGAAACAAACGTAAACGGCCTGGGGAATGACACCTGAATTCCTGACTCAAAGAATGGTGAGAAATAAAACTCTTAAGCCACTAAGGTTTGGGGTCATTTGTTACATAGCAATAGACAGCAGATACACTATCAAAATAATTCAGGAACCAATTTCAAGAGACTATCACTAAAGATAGCCAATTTGAGCATCAATTAAATGTATTAACTGCAATGGTTTATAGCATAATAAATACATTTTTTCTTTTTGTCTCCCTTGGTGAGTGCCATGGCCTTATAGCTCACAGCAATCTCATACTCCTGGGCTTAAGCTATCCTCTTGCCTCAGCTTCCCAAGTAGCTGGGACTGTAAGTGCCCACCACAATGCCCAGCTATGTTTTTAGAGATGGGATCTCACTGTCGCTCAGGCTGGTCTCAAACGTGTGAGCTCAAGCAATCTACCCAGCTAGCCTTCCAGAGTGCTAGGATTATAGATGTGAGCCACTGTACGCCAGGCCTATAATAAATATATTTAAATCCATGAATTCAATGTTAAACCAAACATCCCTGATTCCTTGGGTATTTCAAATCAGTGTGGAAAAGATGATTCATATAAGAGATGGCCCTGGGGACCACTGGGGTCAGCCTCCAGGTCCAGAAGAAGCACAGTTGCCTCTGCTGGAAGTTCACAGTTAAGGGGAAGCCCCTGAGTGGACCTCGTGTCTGAAAATGTGTGAGGGTGAGGAGGAGAAGTTGGTGAAGCCAGTGGATGCCTGTGACTTTTACCTGGAGGGGGCTCTGCAGAGACAAAGTTCAGTTCAAACCTGTCATTCCATTCTGATGCTAATAACAACAAGCCTGTGGCATGGAGCAATATTTGGCTTTCAATCAAAGATGATCTTGACCTTTCACACTAGGGCGTTCTATTTCTGACAACTTTGGCTTGTGGCATCCAAATATCCATAATCTTAAAACACACGGATATCCTAAAACATGTCGATATCATCAGCTTTTGTCCTAACTTTTATTTTAAAGAGCCATTTGCTTTCCCACTCCAAATAAACTATGAAAATTACAGTGGCTTCTACATGTAACAGTATACTAAAGGGGTTGTTATGACAATGCCATTCCCAGAGGTGAAGCTGGGGACTCTGAGGTGCGCTTCAGACATGGGGTGACTACAGCATAGTGGCTGCGAATGTGGTAGAAATTCACCTGTTTACCACTCCCTTGTGATTTATTTCAGACAGAACAAACGTCCTTCCTGAAAAACAGAAAGAGTCAGTGATTGAGGTGTTCTGGAGGGTCTTCTTGTATAGATATTGAAGTCCCTACTTCCTGATGACTATCTTACCTGGCTATCACACTGGATCTCAAACCTAAGGTATCTGCACAAAACATTAACTC